GAGAATGTACCATGTCAACGGTCCGATGCTGAAAATTATCATGAATGCAATGACAGCGAGCGCAAGAATGGATACACTCCAAAAAATCTATTTGTCACTTCAACTAATTCGATCCAATATAGCTAAAAAAGATCACGAACAAACCTAAGGCCAACCCATCTTGATCTTCCCATCTACGACTTATATATGATGGGTTTGGTTGCCCTGATTAATATGAATGATAAGCCTTATTTGCCGTAAAGGAATCCTTAAAATATTTTCCAATAGTTCTTGGTTTAGCTACTATCCCTACCGTTAAAAGGCTGCCTGATAATTACCGAAGAGGTATGCTCTGAATATACTCATCATGGAGAATTAACATAGACAAGTATTAGAGGAAAAGGTCCAGGTACACTCACCTAATGATGCCATGAGAAAGGTCCAAGCAAAAGCCCCTTAAAATGTGTCATGACAACTGCCCAAGTGAACAGATCCCAATAGGAAGAAGAGAAATCGAAGAGACTCAAACCGGTTTTATTTGGCGAGCTAACGGAGAAGTGGCGTCCAAGAGGTAAACCAAGATTTGATTGCTGCATCAACAAGCCTTCAAGAGCCCCCTTTTCAAAGTAATAATAAGTCAGGCTGCAGTCCGAGGCCAATGCACTTTTGATACTTTTGCCTACAAATCATACTATAGGGTAAACTTTTCACACAGACGGAGGTAAACGATCTGCTGGCAGGCGAAGCATTTCAGTAAATGATGAACGGTTTCCATTTGGAAAGCAAGTGATGTGAGAATATAAACAGGTTCGTAGAGGGTATATGAAACCATAAGTTCCAAATATACGGCCAATAATAAAATATTTCTGGTACGGAGTTAAAAGATTATATCAGGAATCTTATTTATTAACTACACTGCCTCTGAACCTGTGTATCCATGACTCAAACCCCGCTGGAGTCGATGAGATATATGCGGAGTCGAAACTGTAACCCAGCCGAGACAGGAACGGCCGTTTGGGATGTAGGGTATAATAAATTTCAATCAAAAGTTATTCTTATTATTATTTCACTTATCATTACCATTTTGTTACTTAAGCTAAGTATACATATTGATTACATTACATAACGGCTCTTTTAAAAGCCACTAACCACTATCTCGACACACTGCAGCTCGGTAAGCCCTTTATGCCATAGAAGCATAAAATGAAGTAACGATACTATCTTGAAGATGAAGCAACCTCAAGTAGCTTAGTGATGGAATAGGCAAAAATAAGTAAAATCGAAGGTATGAAGACCAAGATGGTGTGGCTTTTCATGTGGTCGCAGTCTCCTTTCGTTGTATAGAGGTTGTTTGACCTTGTTTTTGCAACTTGGTCGCATTGGTAGGAAGACTTATAGAAACGCACCTAGTCCGGAGTCGATTGTCTGTATGATCATTTCCAAATTCGAACCGTGAACGAGGTACATTCCCAAACGTTGGGTCAAAGGATCGGCTTCACTTGTCTCTTCGACGAGATGTTGTGTGGTGATAAGAATGCCGAGACACACTAACGATGCCGGCGAAACGCCTGGGAATGCACCACATCCACGGTCCGACTTTGGAAATGATCATGCAGACAATGGACTCCGGACTAGGTGCGTTCCCCAAAGTCTTCCTACCAATATAACCAAGTTGCGAAAACAAGGTCAAAAATAGGTAAAGAAAGGCCTATCTTTAATTGACTATTATGAAGAGGTTTAGTTTTGGAATGCTTGGCATTTATTTGCTCTTCACAATCATGAATTAAATATTTATGTAAAAAATAGACACATTTAAATGATTTATGATTTTTTGGTGATAATATAAAAGTAAAGTGATTGTACGAGAGATACGGAAATCCATATTTATAAACTGAGTATAGACGAGTACTGGGGCAATGACAGCAGAGCCCTTCTTTGTAGCTAGGACTAAAATAATCCGCCTCCGCAGTAAAAAAAAACAATACGAGGAAGAGACCAACTGAAACACATACACAAGACCATTACTGTGCATTCAAGATATGCTAACACCTTTTCTGACTGGATTAATTTTGCCTCAGCTAAGAAAGCATAATTGCCGAGACTTTCATTTAGTATGAAAGTGTAGGAAGAAGAGATTGGAAGATCGATCTCACCAGAAGAGGACGGTTGAATGGCGTTGTGTTGCAGCCGTTTGGCTTTTATATCATGTTGAGATTGATGCAGTCCATGACAGACATCATTAGAGCTGAAACTCGAATTAGCACAACAATACTATCCGGCTCTATCTTACCTCTTATATAGTCTCATTTAAGCAAAATACAAGTTTAAAACATAGATCGATAGAGAATGCTTTTGTTAATTATCTTTATACCAGTCACCTCTTGAATGGCATTTAAATGAGTAGGAACTACACATAATTGATTGATAGATTGCAGGAGAAAGAGGGTGTTGAAATGCCATTCAAGAGGTGACTGGTATAAAGATAATTAACAAAAGCATTCTATATCGATCTATGTTTTAAACGTGTATTTTGCTTAAATGAGACTATATAAGAGGCAGCGTTCCAGCCCAAATGATTTGCATCAAATGATGCACAAAAGGTCAGCCCGTTTTGGCCGGAAAAGAGAGAGGAGGTCTCATGGACTGCGGCACAACGGGATTCAACAGTCGTTCGAAGCTCTTCTTCATACGCTTTCACACGAAATGAAAGCCCATCGAAGCCCAATTGAGTGTTGACGCGAAAGCGTAACTTTCAAAGTCGAAATCCCCCATCAGACACGAGACAATGTTGTCAATCTGTGTGCGGAAATGGGCTGAACCACGTGACCAGAATGGGCAGTTGCCAACGCTTACCCCTTGCCCGTAACGGCTTGATGGTGAAAAGATGAAACGGATCTGGAGCCGTGTGCTCGTAAAGCCGGTATTGACTCTCCTTCAAAGCGTCCCTGAGCGAGACGCACTGTTGCCTGACAATTGACAGACTGGACGGATAGGTGAAGAGAACAATGGGAGTGGCCTGGCCGGCCTTCCAATTGAATCGATCAAAGATGAGTCTGTAGATCCATTTGAGACTGGCGTAGCTGAGCAGGGTTCGTGTCATGAGGGACGAGTACTCGGGCCGTTCAAAGGCCGATCCCAAGCCGGAAGGTGTGAAAAGGGCTATGTTGTAGATGCTGGCAGAGTAGCGCGCCGTGCTGGCCAGCACGTACTCCTCGACCGGCCCTATCAACGCGTCGACGTTGCCGTTCTCGAGTTGCTCCGAGACGGAGAGATCGTCACAGCCCATCGACTGGACCATTTCGATGGGCAGCGCCTTGAAGAAGACTCCATTGAGCGCGGGAATTGTGTGCAAAAGATGCTCGAGCGCCATGTCGAGGGCGGGCAGCATTAGGCTCAACGACGAGTTGCCCTTGGCGAGGATGGGAACGCCGAGACTGACCTCCCTGCCGTGCAGGGCGCCGGCGTTTGGCGTGTTGTTGGCTCTCAACGCTCTGCGTTCGTTCACGGCCCGCGTGCGGTTCATAATTCTGGCGAACTCTTGGCGAAACTCAACGTCAGAGAAGCTCTTCTCCTCTTTGCCCAGATCACCGATGCACACATCATATTTGCCGAGTGTACGCTCAGTCATACAGATTAGGTATATCCAAAATGTGAGAAGAACTCTGAAGAGAAGCCTAAGCCACGCGGATGGCATGTTATGATGAGTGCGTGTGTGCGCATTCGAGGCGAAGTAGAGGCGCAGAGGGCGAGAGCGTGGTCGGCTGGAGGCAGTTGCTGCTGGAGGCAGACGGCGGCCGAGCGTCGACTGCCGGGCCGCAGACGTCGGCCTCGTGATGGTAGGCCACACGCATCAGGCCGAAGCGATAGGACATGCCGGAAGGGCGAAAAGACAGGATACTACTGCCTGACCGGCGCACCACTAATAACAAGGCAAATGCGCACAAGAGTGCATGCGTCAACCTTGTATAATGCAAGCCCCGCGATTGACCAATCAGAAGTGGCACAGTGGCACGATCAATAGTAGCCAAAGCCAGTCAGGCAAAGCTGCAATGTCATTGGTCCAAATGGTAGGTCTTCCTAATTCGCCTGATTTTTCTCCACCTATGGCGGCAAGGTCACTCTGCCAGAATGTTCTGCCGTGGCTCGAGTCCCAGCAATTGTATGCGCCCATGTCCAGTCGCCTCCGTTTACAAGCTCCAGCCGAGCCGGTGGGCAAACGGCGAAACGGCTTTCAGTTCTGGCTCCCCGTGGGGTTTCGAGGCATCTCTTGCTTCACAATTGTTGAGCTTACTTAACATTTCGAGTGAAAGTGTTGCCTGGAGAGATTCGAAGCTCGGTTGCACCAGAAGACGACGCCGGATTCCTCCTCACCAGCTGTCGATTGGCTTTACTGGCAGATTCATGTTGACGCTGTTTCCGATGCGTCATGTGACGGACATCATCAGACCGAGGTAACATTGTCACAACGAAATTCAAGCTAACGAGTTTTCGTGACTCGCTTTCACCGGAATCGAAGGCGATTGCCTCGGTAACAGCGTCAGCATGAATGCTCCAGTAAAGCCAATCGCCGTCGTCTTCTGGTGGAGCCGACCTTCCAATCTCTTCACGCCACACTTCCACTTGAAATGGAAGAAAACCACTGTTTGGATGTTTTACTCGAAGCCAACCAAGACAATCTACTCGAGCCCGGTTGGATTCGCTGCCTCTTCCTGTTTGTCAATGACAGCTGACGCCTTCGGTAGCAAAGTTGCATTCGCGAGAACCGGTTGCTGACAAGAGCTCGGTCCACTTTCGCCCGGGACGAGAGAGCATGTCTCTGGGAGTGTATCCACGCGAAAGAGGAATCGGAGCCAAACGGTGGTAGCACGACCGGATTCGCCGATAAGCCAACGAGTCTGTCCAACCAGCACTTGCACACGAGACGAAAGTGTCCACAACCAGTTTATCGTCGAGACGCGGCTACTGTTAAGGCAAGCGGCCCATGTGCCATTATCGCCTCTTGTCCTTGCATCCTGTATCACCTAACCTTGGCCCCGTGTCCAAGCGTCGAGAGCTCATTGGTGGCAACTATACATCAGCCACTGACTTCTTGTTTAGACCCGTCAGACTCTTGTACCATAAGGGTGGAGTGATTCAGTTACTGACTGACCCCCCACTCAGCTCTTCTCAACTCCAGCCTGGCAATGAGGGGGTTGTTGGGGCTATCATCAGATTGAAGCTGAGTAAGCAGAGAAGGTAGACTCTTATGGCGATTTCGCCGACAGTTCAGAATGTTGTACTCGTCAATTGTTAATGCAACCAATAGTTGTTAGAGAGAGGAGTACAGGTAAAAATCGGTCTAGTTAAACAATACTCAGTGTTTTACAATCAGTGAGACCTAACTCGGGTCTCGGTCGCACTCTTCGCAGGCCAGACTCCTTATAGCTTCCGGATTAGACATCAACACATTGTCTCCTTTATGCCTTGCTCAGGCTCAATAAACTGCAGTCGACTGGTGCCTGGATGAAAACAACTTTTGGGAAAGCAAGGCTATGTGAAATTCAATGGAAACGCTGGCTCAACTCATATCATTTGTAGGAAAATTCTTCTTCTACCAGTCCTTCATGACCTTAAACCAAATTGTGTGAATACATCTCATATTACTGATTTACTGGTAGTCACGAAAACAATACTTAATTAGAAAAATAAAGTAAGTTCTCAATCTGAAATGTATCCACCCAATTTCGTTTAAGGATGAGAACAACTTTCGGGAAAGCAAGGCTACGTCGCCAATGTAAACGTCAGCTCAACTCATATCATTGTGGGAAAATTCTTCTTCTACCAGTCCTTCATCACCTTAAACCAACTTGGGTGAATACATCTCATATTACTGATTTACTGGTAGTCACGACAACAAAACTTAATTCGAAAAATAAAGTAAGTTCTCAATATGAGATGTATCCACCCAATTTCGTTTAAGGATGAGAATAACTTTTGGGAAAGCAAGGCTACGTCGCCAATGGAAACGTCAGCTCAACTCATATCATTGTGGCACAATTCTACTACCAGTCCTTCCTCACCTTAGACGAAATAGGATTAATACATCTCATTACTTTTTGCTTGTCTTGTCGTAATTATTAATCATACTTTTTTCCCCAAGGATGTCAATAGTCGCCCTAATCTTCTGCTTTCACCGTATGAGCTCTTCCTTTCAGTTACCCTCCAGTCGACCCCGTGTCCAGTCTGTACGATGGGTTCCGCTAATTCTCATCTTTCGGCATTCATCTTCCGGCAGAGTCTTTGATGTTCCTTGATTCATATGCTCATTTTTCTTCCTGTTTTGCCAATATATTTCTGTTCGCAGGCGCTGTATGCTATGCAGTAATCTCCCGGACAATCCAGTTTGTCCGCTCTCTTATGTTGCGTTAGCAGACTTGTGAAGAGCGTTGTGTTTTTCCCTTGTGGTCACCCGAATATTCAATTTCCTTACTGGTGGCTGTAGTTTTTCAGTTAACTTGCAGGAAGGTAGGCATTTCCACTTATGTTAATCCTTCTCCATGCTGCCATCAGCTTTTCACGGTCCGTATGTTTCTTT